CAAGGTTGAGGGGCTTTCACCCAGCCCCTAGAGTCTGGCACTTTGAACTTGGACTTAAAGCCTCCAAATTGTAAGAATAAACTCCTGTTTGTTAAGTCCATCCCATTTGTAGTATATATTCCTGTCAGAGCATCACTAAGTAACCAGAACAGGTAAGTAAACAAATGAATCTCAGAATGAACAGAGTTTTAGTATTTAGGCCTTTGCTAGGAGCAAAATACATCATGTTGGATTCTCCAAGGGTTCTTTTGTCTTGTATCTCAGTGCTGGCTGCAAGACGAACATACCAATAAGCAAGCCTCAATCATGCTTGTGATTTCACAGAGTAAGACTCTTATGTTCAAGGGAAGAATAAGAGCTTAACTACAACAAAAGGGGTTCTTGACCCTCACTACACAATATGATAATCTCTAGGGTTTTTTTTTTTTTGTTGTTGTTTGTTTGCTTATTTCCTTTTTAATACTAACAACTGAACCTCACCCTAGACATCAACTGAGAATCTTCAGATGAAGCCTATGCAATAGTATTTTCTCCTTTTTTATTTTTATTATGATTTGGGTTAAAGTCTACACAGCAAATTCATTTTCCATACAGCAGTTCATACACATTTTGTTTCATGACACTGACTGCAATTCCCCACAATCTAACAGCTCTATTCCCAATTCCTTCCTGTAATGTCCTCTTCCCTGTGTCTTTCCCTCCCATGCACTCCCACCCCTTGAGCTATCTCACTGTACAAATACTGCCCTTCTGTTCTCTGATGACTGATCACTCCAAGGAGTATATCTACCTGATGTAAATGTTCACCCTATATGCCTGTCTATTGTTTGGCTGGAAGCCACAGGAGTGAATTCAGTTCCAGACCTGAATGGTAACTAAGGGCCATAGTCTTGGGTATCTCACTGGGCTCTATCAGATGAGTAAACCTGGGCTTTAATGATTTTGAGTTTCGTTGCACATTATTATCCCGCTCTATCCAAGATCTGCACCAACCCCTTTCCAAGTAGTTGACAATGGTCGCCAAGCACCATTTAGTTCTAGTTTCATGGTCATATAGGCTGAAGATCACATGTCCCTTGGACTAACTGTTTCCATGTGTCTTTCATTTTCTTTATTCGTCTTTGCTCTGGACAAAGACCCATTTTTGCATCTAGATCGCTGCTTGCAAGCTTTTAAGACCCCAATCACTACTCACCAAGTAGGATGTAGATCAGTTTTTGTGTGGTATGTTATGCCCATTGACCTTGATGTCCCTTGTGACCATGGTCCTGAGCCCACAAGTCCAACTATACACTCCCTCGTGGTAGCTGGCTGTGGCCAAGAAGCCAGCACACCCTTGTCCCTTGTCAGGTCTACTATACATCTGGACATTCTTAGAGCACATACAAATACACTTGTAAAAACATAATTTGCCAACCCTCTACATAGGCATGCTCTGCACTCCTCCCTGCCTAAACATACGTGATCATTCAGCCTGTCCACTCAACTATCTACCTGTAGATCAGTGCTTGCCATCACTAGCAATGCAGTACTGTACATGCAAAAAGAATCCTCTTTCCTGTCTGTACCTCCCATATACCTCTCTGTACCTCCCAGGGACCTCTCTGTATCTCCCATGTACCTCTCTGTGTGTTCCTCTTCCTTGA